AAATTCCAGCGTTCACGAAGTATACCATTTAATAAATCTGGATTACCACAAGTGGGTATATTATTAATAGCATTATAACTACACATGATTGACATAACCTGACCATAATTAACACAAGCATCAAATACAGGTAAATAAGTTTCCCACATATTTCGAACATTAACTTGAGCATCAAATTCAAATCTATTTGTTTCAACATCATAGGCTGCATAGTGCTTACAACATGCAGCAACTAGTTTATATTTTGAATCAGTAAAATTTTTTCCTTGAGCTCCACCAACAAAGTGAACTGTTAGTTGTGAAGATAAATAAGGATCTTCGCTGTACACTTCTTGATTTCGTCCCCATCGAGGATCACGAACTAAATTCATATTTGGACCGTAGATAGAAATTCCTAAGCCATTTGTTCCATCTTGGCCTCGTTTGCCTTGATGTTGATTATAGTTATATGTACCTCTTGCTTCAATACCAACGGTTTGTCCAACGATTAATAATGCTGTTCGAGACCATGTTGCACCTAGTCCACAACCATCAGGAAATACTGTTGAATGTTGCTGCATTACTGAATGTACGTCATCATTTAACCAGTTATAACTCGGTATTCCCATGCGAACAATAGCAGGTGCATTATTAGTTAATTGTGCAATTTTTTCATTAACAGTTAGTTGAGATATTAAGTATTCTACACGGGCTTCTGTAGAGAGTGTCCAGTCTAAATGTGTGTTACTTAAACCTGGACATTTTTCTTGATAATCATTTACATTCATTATGCATGTCTTGCCATCAGGACATAAATATTGATTAGCAGAACATTTACCACATAGTGATTTATCTAACACGCAATCTTGCGTAGTAGTACATAATTCAAATGTACCATAGCATGTACAATGAATATATTTGATCAAATTGAAACTACATAATACATACAAAAGAAAGAGTTGTGACTTCATATTGACTAAACTAAAATGATTATAGACAATACAGCACATTTTCGTCACTAATATAATCTCAAATTTGTGCTATGGGAATTTTTGCAGATGGGCGTTTCAAACATGCACGGTGCAATTTTTTCCCGTTTATTATATAATCTGAAGGATATCTCATTCATGAATGCCGTTCGAAACTAGAAATGATTAGTCGTGACAACAATCATTGAAAAATGAAATAAATGACAGGAAACAGCTATCGATGATAGGTAGTAAGATGCGGATAATTCAAAGTTCCAAATTATTAGTTACAGAGTCTATCTTGCAAATATGCTGAAGGATATTAAAATACTTCAGCATTAATTGTGAGGTACCGTGTGGCACGAATTCAAACCATCTTCTGTAAGATGAAGGTAATTCAAAGTTCCCTAAGTTTCATTTTTCTTTCAAGCTTACATAGTTTGATTCGTCTTTAGCTGTTTATCACGAATCTGACCTTCTTTGTCGCTCTGTTCGAGTTTCCAGGACGAAATAGGTAAAATACTGAGAAGGTATCAAAATTCGAAAACAAAATGACTTTTGAAGAAAAGCGTTTTTCTCCTCTTCGTTCAACTTTTCGCGCTTACCAATATGATATTTGGATTCCTCGCACGAAACTGCATCTAGCCATCTAGAAGGTTCGCGCGCAGATCGTATCGAAACTACAAAATCAGTTATCGATGGTGTTCCGTTGGTGAAAAGTAACTTTGCAAACCTATCTAGTTTTTTTGGTTGATACATAGACTCTTCTAATGTCATTCGAATCACTCTTTCGCGCGCTACAAAAATTCGTATCGCTTCTTCTTATTTTTATTTTCTGCGCTGAGCAAACCAGTTTTTCAAAATAATCAAGACCTTCTTTTGTTGCGGCATGATTGTAGCCCGCAAATTTCTGATTAAAATGAGACATCTCCTACCTCCATATGACCTTTCTCTGCAAAATTATAGAATTTACAAGACAAGCCCAAAATTAATTTCTTCTTATTTCTGTACCCAGTGAAAAACAATGAGCGTGATTCCGCGGGTTCCTGCGGGAAAAATGAAACATTCTCACGCGGGAAGTGAAAGTCTTCTGCAGGAAAAGAAGCACTTTTCCCGCCGCATTCTGCAGGAATCTTTCGAAAATCTGAAGAACTTCGTTCTTTTCTTAGGAAAAATTCCCGCCCAGTTTAGGACATTTACGACGAAAAATCTCGGCAGAATTCTTCTCTTTTCCCGATGTAGAAGAATTCTGCAGAAAGTTTTCGTCGTAAATGTCTTAAACTCGGTGAAAAGTTTTGCGCAGAATTCTGCGAAAACATTTTCTGCACAAAAAAGGATTTTCACCGTCGTCTCGCTTTTCATCTCATCATTCCGCTATCCACTTTTCTCATCTTATGTATCGTAGTCCGCCTCACTCTACTTAGTTCTCCTGCAGAAGACTTACTTTTTCCGCACAGTATTATGCGCGGGATGTTTACTTTTTGTCCAAAGTTGACGAATAATACTGAATT